CCCGAAGCATTCTCACACTTGTCGAGAATCAACTTCGCTGCCGCCAGCATGCCCTGCCACTTCTTATGACAGTCCTCCGCCGACCTGTGCGGAAACCCCTGCTCCGCCATCCGATCGTGCACCCACTCATATCGGTCCTTCCTCCTCTTGAACCGATGCTGCCCGTCGGCGTCGGCCATAAGGGCGTCATCATCGACCATCAATCTGGACAGCACGATCCTCTCATCCAAGCTCCAGGGGATGTTTTGCTTCTTGTTTTTCGCAGCACCATCTTTGCCCCCCCGCTTGTTTGCACGCTTGCTGCTTCGGGGCCCAACCACATTCTCGCCCCCATCTCTCTGGCCAGCACTAGCACTGTCCCTAGCCTCCTGCACGTTGTCAGAGTTTTGCCCATCAATGTCACCGCCATCACCTTCAACTTCATCGTCTACGCCACCAAAGGAATGACCTTGCAACCCGGCAGACGATGAAGTTGCACTGTGGACAGACCACCCCTTATCCATATCCTCTCCTTGCACATCTGCCATCGAAGGTGAGGGCTCGGCAGCAGACCGCCTCACCGACATGGGCGAGGGAGCGGACAACCCGCCATGCATAGGCTGCGACAGTTGTCGGCACTGTGGGGACCACTGCCACTCGTCCCTCATCACCACGCCCCTTTCCATAGTGTGCTGGGTGGGGTACATGTGCGGAGCAATGCCATATCCACCGCCGCCCGGGAACATGTGCGGAGAAGGCATGCCATACCCGCCTCCAACCTGTGTGCAAAATGATGTCTGGCCCGTGTGCACGGGGTCCGCATGCAGACTGTCTGCAGTGGGTCGAACAACGAACCGCCGACGTGCACCTTCCGCATGATGGACAGATGGAGAGGGCACACGAGCAGGTGGCACTTGAATCCGCCCTGCACGCACAACCTCCTGCATCTGTCCGCTGAAGGACTGCATAGTCGCCGGTGAAGGCGAGGAGTACGGGACAGATCCTTGTTGTCGCATGTCCTGGGTCTGGAATCTTCCATCATTGCCTGCACAGGGATCTGTCGTCGACCGGTACGACTCCATTTGGCTACGGAAGGTATATATACAGAGGCAACACCTACAAACACGCAATGCGCTCTCCAACAACAACGCTTCGCTGCTTATCTCCACCGACGACAGCACAGGTACACGATCGCACACCAGAAAATGACGGACAACACGGAAGCTGTGGAAAGGAGGATAGCGACGGCAAGCAGGTCTGCGATAACAGCCAAAGATGGTTTTTTTTGTCGCCGCCTCCGCCGCAGTGGTTGTTTATGATAACATCCACACAACAACGACAATGGCAGCGGTCACATCCACACGGCCGACTATAGCGTTCAACAACCGACACGTGGCAAGTGTGTAGATGAGGACTTATAACCACATCGTCATGTGCAGCCCATCCCTGCCCACATGTGTCGGGGTTGCTCTCCGGCGAGGAGAAACGACCGCCCTGCCGAGGCAGACAAAGAAGTGAGGATGGCAAGGGAGGCACACGACGGAGCACGACATGTGCAATGGCGACCACACGGGAGGTCAGCATTGGACGACACGTGTGCGCGCAGGCAGGTAGTGAGAGCGTCGGGGCCGGACTGTGCGTTCTACAGACATTGCTCGGCACAATGCCAACAGCTTCGAAATGCAAGCCCTGGACAGACAACGTCTGCCGACGCCACCCGAGATGGCTTCCCCGTAGGCAGGCCAGGGAACCTGCACGCGCGAAGGAGATGAGTGATGGCATAACACCAGTGAGAAGCGACGGAGGGTTTAATGGACGTGTCGACGACGGTGACGTAATGGTTTCACTGCCGATGCTTCTCCCACTGAACTCGCACGACATGAAGCGACTGCATGGCTGGCCTACCTCCCGAGCCCGCCAAAAAATTAGAATTTCAAATGCTGCGTCATGCCGTTCGCAAACCGAGGGTAGCATGGAGGGCCCAGACCCCCCCCGGGCCCCGGTGGGAACCGTGCGACGCGAGAAAATGAAGAGCATGTCCGCGCCAGCATACTGGTCCAGAAAATGGTCCACGACGACGGTCCGTGGTTCGCGCCGTCCCGCTGTTTTCTGGAAACTGTTTGACATGCCCCCCCCCCTACTTGTCTTCAGGCGTCCTTGGAAACGGCCTGGAAACTCGTCGGCATTGCATTTCCAGACCGCGAGCCGAGTAGAAACGCCCCGTCAGCTTTTCCACGACCTCTTTCCAACCGCAGTGGGGTCTGAAATTCCTTTCCGGGCCGACTTTCCACAACGGTTTCCAACACCTGTGGGGTCTGAAAAACACTTCCTCGCCAAAACTTTTCCACGCCGCCGGCCAGTGGGGTCCACGCCTAAGTCGAGTCCAGGCTCACACCTGCGCAGTCAATCCTCTGGTCTCCAGAGTAGTCAATGCTGGCAGGCACCTTCCAGACATCCTCCCACGATCATTCTATGTATCATATTGTATTCATACTATGTAAATTATGGTTGTCCCGGGTTTCAGTACTATAAGTCGGGTCCAGGCTCACACCTGCGCAGTCAATCCTCTGGTCTCCAGAGTAATCAATGCTGGCAGGCACCTGCCAGACATCCTCCCACGATCATTCAATGTATCATATTGTATTCATACTATGTAACGGACGCTAGACCCGTTTTCCAGCAAGTGACGCTCCCCACCAATAGATGGAGCCTCTCCCCAGGTGCTAGCTATGTCTGCTTTTAACAGCCAAAAAAAAAAAAAAAAAAAAAAAGTTTGACTTCCACTTTTTCGATCTGTACAAAATGTTGGGTTTTGTGGTTTTGTTGGGTTTTCATGATCTTTGCAAGAAAGAGTTTTCCTTCACATTTTGAGGGTGTTACAATGGCGCTGTCAAGTGAACAATGGCGCTGTCACGTGAACGCCAGAAGAAAAAAATAAAGAAAATGAAACTACTTGCTATACCCGGGAAAGCAGGTTGATACATCACCATCAGCGGTAATGTGAGTGTCCCCTGTCAGTAGCCCGTGGGGTGCTGTCAGGTGAAAGATACAACCAAAAAAAAGAAGAAAAGAAGAAAAAGGAACTACCCGTTATACCCAGGATAGTGGTTCGATGCATCATCATCAGCACAACTGTGAGTGTCCCCTTCCTGACTGAGTGTCAGAAGCCGGTGGATGGCACCCTGCCTGCTGGCAGGGCAGCAAAACAAAACAAGAAAAGGAAAAAAAAAAAACAAGTAAGACAAAGTTGAAACTAGCTCAAATAGTGGGCAGATATGCTATTCGGGGTATTAGGTCTTTCACAGCCTTCCCCACATACCACCTCGAGCGTACAGTCCTGTCCAGATTTTTTTCTTTTTCTTTTTCCTATTACAGGTGGGCCCGTAGGGCCCAAACATTTTGTTTTGGCAGAGCCTCCCCCATACCCCTGAAAAATGCGGTGTGACGTGTATTCCTGTTTCCCAACACTGAGAAAGGTAGTGACTCCCTGAACCCCGAACTTTGCCGTTGAGGTCATTTTCCCAAATGGG